GAATACAAACGACAACTGCCAAAAGACATGAAACTACAGTTACTGCAGTAATTGAATTCAATAAATATCTTAAAAATTGTTTTTCTGACTGGACTGATGTTTCCAAGAAAGTATCGTGGGAGATCATTTACATACAACCCTACGACACTGATGAGAGGAGACGAATAAAAGAATGGCAAGGATGCACTTTGAACGAATCAGGAAACTATAATCTCGAGCAACAGGAGGTTACTGCCAAATTCTGGAGTGAAAAGGTAAATCAGTATCAGGTGAATTTGTCTTTAGGAATGGCAGTACGCCTCGTGGAGGCTTTGGAGAGGGTGCGTAAAGAAGAAAAACTATCTAAAATCGAAGACTTGATACAAATAAGAAGGCAGGAAGTGCATCAAGAAGTCAATTTCAACTGAAATATGTTTTAATTTCAGAAATATTAGTGAAGTAAAGTATTCCTTTAACATGTTGTTTTTTTTTTTTTTTATTATTAGTATGAGTTTAAGGGTAAAATAAATATGCCGCATGGTCTCACAAAACAATGGCTAACTGTCCGGTATATTGCCCATTCATAATTTCTGTTTTATTTTGGGACAAAATACAAATGACAACGTATATTAATTTTTGATTTCGTTGAGTTTTTAAATTGTTTTCAGTGTGGATGGGTGAAGGAGATTGGGAAAAGGAATGGTCTAATGTTGCGCTTGGTAAAAAAAAAAAAAAATAATAATAACATATTATGTTTTCTTGGTTTGTATATGTGTGGGTGTTGTCGTTTCAGGTTTGGTGTTTTGAAAAATCCGCTCAATACGTCCTTCTTTGTGCTGCGCGGGGTGATGGGTGAAAATGGGCTCTCGGCATTTCCTTTTCGACAGTATTAATTGTGAATTGGTATTTGAGACTCTTTTCTGGTTTTTAATTAAAATGTGATGGGGAGCAAAAAAAACACAACAGGAAAGTACTAGGTGCTTCTTTTTTTTTTTTGTTTTACTGCTCTGCCTAAATGGTAAATTTATTACTTTGATGGAAGGGAAAATTATCAAAAAAACAACAGATATTCTCACTCTGCATGGCGGGAAAGTGTTTTGAACTGTTCTGCTACTTGCCGCTCCCCAAGGGGGATTTCTCTTGAAACAAGGGGAAAACTAATAAAAATATTTTCTGTTTC